GGTCTTAAATTGATCTTATCATATGGCACAATAGACAAGGTAGAGATCAACGAATTTTTAAAATATGGGGAATACAATTTCACTTCTGGATTATATTAGCGCCGAAGAAGTGTTCACGAACTAAAGAGATTTTTACCTAGCATTTGTGTCTGTTTACTCGGTATTTGGTAACAATTGTTACCAAATGTTAGGTTCGTTTGTTTACTCAATAATTTGTACAAATTATTACAAAATGTTGTTCGTCTACCAAAAAGTCAAAAGAAGAGAGTGAAATGAGAGCAGATTTGACAGTTGTGTTACAGAGTATTTACAAATTCTTACAAGGAAAAATGTACTCAGTAAGAATTTTCTTGTACCATCAGCTGATATTTAATCAGCTGTTTTGTTATGTTTTGTAAACAAACAACAAAATTGTTCTCAAGCAAATTAATTGTTTTGTGAATTTTATATTGATTTTGTATTATTGAACATTAAAATGGATGAAGTAAACGCAAGTATTTCTAAAACAACATCAATTTTCCACTTGCTATCCATTTTTCAAATAAAAATGCTGCTTTTTTGTTTGCACCAAATTGTTTGTTGTTGTAATCAGTTGTGTCGATACAACCTTTTTACTGGATGTTGTTCGTTTACTTTTTGCAAATTTTCTCTCTTGAAAACGAAAAATTCGTATTTTACTTTTTGCAAATTCTTACTGAGTCAATATTTCTGGGAAAGTAAACGAACGAACTTATTACTTAATGTTAGGTGTGCCTGGTTACCCTAAAGTTTGTAACAATTGTTACAAATTGTTACTGGAAGTCGTCTGTTAACCCAAAAGTTCTGCAAAAGAGAGCGGTTGGAGAGAGAAATTTTGACAGTTCTTTCAGTGAGAGTTTGCAAATTCTTGCTGGAAAAATTTCTTCTTGCAATCTCTTGCAACTCTTCTTCTTCTCATACATCGACATTCAATCAGATGTTTTCTATTGTTTGTTTATTTATTTTTGTGCTTTCAATTTGAAAATAATTTTTTTTGGAATTAGCAAGACTAATTGTTTTTGGAGAAAAACTTTACAAAACGAGAAAAACGTAAGTATTAATATGTAATAGGAAAATAAAAGACTATTTCCAGCATTTTTAGAAAAATGACGGAAGAAGATCAGTGTGTCTCTGTAGTTTCTGGGGAACACATCAAATCTATCTTTCTTTTATTGCTCATTTTTTTATTTTATTTCCTTTTTATTTCAAAAACTTGTTAAACTGGTTGTGTTTTCTTTCTTTTAATTCTTTATAATGGCGGACAAATTGGTTTGTTTTGACAAATCAGCTGATTAGTTGCAAGCTTCTGCAGGGATGCCGTCTGTTTACTTTTCGCATTTTTCTTGCAAAAGAGAATAAAACTACCTTACTCTCTCAGAAAGAAGTTACTGGACAATTCCTGCAGGGAAAGTAACCAGACACACCTGTTGTCTGTTTACCCAAAAATCCAGTAAAAGAGAGTAATATGAAAGAGCGAGTTTGACAGTTCAACAATAAAAAAACTTACTGGAGTTTGCTGAAAGAATTTCGTGAGGTAAAATTTTCTAATTCTTGAATCAGCTGTTTTATGACTAATTGACAAAAATAATGTGCAAGATATGCAAAGATTTTAATTTCCAACGTGCAGTTCCATGTTGTATAAAGAATTTAGAAAATGAAATAAAATTCGCAAATCTGCAGATTATTTGCAGAATCTTATTGATCTTTTCTCAGTATTATTGCAAAGCGTGGTTTTATATTTGTCGGGCTCGGGATCGATGTTGAGAGTTTCTCTCTCTCTCAGTGGTAAATTGTGAATTGTGTTGGAAAACATTACCACAGGTAGGAACAAAAAAGTACGAAAAGGTACCTAAAATTCTTCAAATTATAATAAATCATAATTATCGAGAAATATCGGCCAATATTTATACCAGTTATTTGCATAAATAATATATGTTTTAATTTAAGCGTAAATGTATTCACGAATAATAAAAAAATTAATTTTTGTTTTGGTACGTTTATGTCAATTCGTACCTTTTGTGAACAAAAAGTACGCTTGTGACAAAATTAAAAATAGCGCAACTCTAATTACTCTCTCAAGAGAGAGAAACTCTCAACACCGATCCCGATCCCGACAAATATAAAACCACACAAAGAGAATAAAAACGGCTTATACGGCGTTTACATTAGACTTATTTACTGGGTTAACTTACTTTATGAGGATTTATTTGACACTTATATATTTGAACCTTGAACCGGTACAATGTAAACGTACTATTACTCTCTGAAATATAACTTAAGGTACGTTTAAATTTACGAAATCCACTCGATCTCAAATGTCAATTCCATTGCTTATAATACGTCAAATATAATCCACTGGATTTACGAACAGGATTAACGTGACGTATACGCAATAGAATTGGCATTTCAAATCGAGTCGATTTAGTAGTCTAAACGTAGCCTTACTATGATGTGTTAATGTTGTGGATAAAGTCATGTGTGGATTAATTTAAAATCCTAACTGAAATTACAATACTATTAGACCGACAATTTTTTGCTCTAAAAAAATATACATATTTCCAATTTTTTCCGTTGAGCTATATTTTCGAGAGTTTTTTCTTTATAATACAAACTGAATAAAATTGACACATCGATTGCGTGTTATACGAAGGTTCGCCATTTACCAATAATACGCATACACACACTTGATGTACATATTGCTTAATCGTTTGAATCGAAAGTAATCGGTAACCATATTTATAACTCAGTGAAAGAGGAAAGGGAATAACAACACAGGCAAATTGTTTTTGTTTCACGCATACGAAATCTTTTCGACAGGGGAAAATAAAATAAAAACAATGAATAGGGCGTAAGTGTAAATAGCTTTTTTGGTAAAACACTTTAAATTTAATTAGCTTTTCTGTTATTTTTCAATAAGGTTCAATAATCGTAAATCACTAAAACAAGAAAAGATTTTTCTTCAACGTATGAAAGAAAATCCTGATATGGCTTGGGGACTACCAAAAGAAAAAAAGAAAGAATATGATGCATTTTGGGTTAATCTAGTAGCTGAACTCAATGACAATGGACCGCCTATTAAACATATGACTGAGTGGAAAAAGGTAAAATTCACTACATAGGTTATTGGTAACTAAAATGGTTGGTTGCCATTACAACAGTACACATTATTGTCCGTCTTACAAATAAAGACCTTCAAATTTGCAGATTGGTCAGAATCATGGATCTTCCAATTCTCAAAATATATTTATATTTAAGTCTTGTTTTTGTTTTTTTAGACATGGTCTGATTGGAGATCATATGTACGTAAAAAACTTGCCCAGAATGGCACAAAAGCCGTACGCATGACAGATGCAGAAATTCAAGTTGCAAATATTTTAAAATTAATAAAAACCCCAGAAATATCATCCGAGGGAACTGAGACATTTTTATCAAATATATTCCTTGCTGATGACGATTCAGATGACAGTAGATCGTCCGATAGCAATAAGTGTTCTTCGTCGAAACGTAAATGTGAAGCGACATCATCACGGGAAGATCAGAATGATTCGTTATTAAATGACACGAAACGTAAGCGTGAAGCAACACCATCACAAGAAGAACAACAGAATGATACGTTAATAAGTGAAACGAAACGTGACACAACATCACTGGAAAATGATAATGACACCTTACTGAGTGATACTTCAATACAGGAAGACCTAAGAGGATTTCCATTGCCCGAGACAACATTTCCAAGATTTTATCGTGGTACTTCGGACAGTACGTCAAAGTTGGAGAACCGTGTCGCTCGTTGTTTTAAACGCATTTATAATACCTTGGAAGACATTTATAAAATTCAAAAGGAAACAAATAAAGAAAATGAACGCCATCACAGGGTAATGGAAGAGTTATTGCGTGAAAAGAATATGATTAAAATGAGATCGTTGGAATTACAAGAATTGAAATACAAATTTGAATTGGAACAAAAACTAAGTAATGGAAATCATGTGAATGATACAACGGAATAAAATATAACATATATAATTATATATTATAAGAGAATTTTAACTAATATAACTTGCAAAAAAAAAAAAAAAAAATAAATAAAAACTGAAATGAAAGAACTAATTTTATAAAAAAAAACAATTACGAGTTTTTGAATGCCCAAATTATTTTTACCATTATATCCGACTAAAATAATTTCTCACTAAAATAATTGTTCTAGAGCAACTTTAGCTGAAATTTTATGTAACTTGTTTTTATATTTATACTTACTTGGTTGTTAGTTTATTAAATTCAGAAAATATCTTCAATATAGGTGGTTATCTTATAACATATGGTGGTACATTGGATGCAAATACCAAATTTTTCGTTCAATCGAATTTTTATTTGTCAAATATCTTGGTAGCATTTTTTTCCAAATTGAAAAATTGTCGAAATAAAATTAACTAGTTACAATGGAACTTCAAACAAATTGTTCTAGTGCATCAACATTATGAAAATAAACAAAAAAATTAAAAAGTAAAGGGAGTAGTTTACATGACTATGGTAAGTACTAAAGAATTTTGTGACATTATCAATACAAATTATTTATGTATGTACGTATTTTTGGAATTAAGATTCACACAACGATGTTTTAACGATGTTTGGCCCATTGTTCCCAATATTCCTTCTGTTGCATTTCATACAGACGTGATAGCGTACGATCGAAAGCAAACATGAGGAGGATTTAATAGCAGCAGCTGCAATTCAAATACCCCTAATAAGGGATTTTACATCCCTAAGACGTTTGTAATAATTCTAATAAAGCAAACAAAACTAAGATTTAAAGTCATTTAACTTATAAAATGTGTATATATAAAATGTTCTGTAATAATCCAATTATATATTTGTAATTTAATGTATAATATTTAGTACAACAAAACACATTTACATTTACTTTACAAATATACAAAATACAAAAAAGGGAGTCTAATTTAATTTCAAAAAAATGCACATTGTATTTAGTAGGCTGCCACAGGCCCTGCCTTGACTTCTTGCCCGGTAAGTCCTTTGCGAACTACCTTTTCAATATCATCTAATAGACCGGAGGCCCCAAAACGGAATAGGGCTGGCTGCAGCCATTGCATTCCTAATGTCTCCTTAACCAATGTCATCCATGTAATGGCTTCACGTACCGTACGAACACCACCGGCTGGCTTGAGGCCAACAATTTGTCCTGTTTTTCGTTGAAAGTCTTGTATAGCCCATATCATAACCAAACCAACGGGTATGGTGGCATTTACTGACTCCTTACCCGTGGATGTTTTAATAAAATCGGCACCAGCCATCATACAAACCATTGAGGCTTTGTAAACCTAAAAAAATGAAGTGAAAAAGTCATTGGGGTTTTGTGTTTTAAAAATAACAGCATCAATGATTTCTAATAAGTATGTACAATAAATTTCCAAGGAAATGTTACATAGTAATTCATAGTTTTCTCCCACAATAAAAAAATAATAAAAATAAATAAATAAAAGTGTATTAATTTTCTTAGATAATTTTTTTTACTAAAATAACTGCTAATCTGGAAGCCCCACCACCTTTAGCCTAAGACAATTTCCATGTTTGGCAGTTATACAATAAATTTTATTATAAAAATCTTCTATAATTCTTCATACTCACATTTTCCATAGATCCCAATTCACCGATCGCCAAAATCGTTTTCAAATGAGCCTTATCACCACACGCCTTACGCATTTCACACACTTCATCGTATAACTTTTCCCATTGTCCAGTAAGTGCCAGCTGACGATTTATCACTATATCAATTTCTTTGGCACCCGATTCAATGGCAAATGTTATTTCCTCTAAGCGTGTTTTCAAACCATATTGTCCAGTGGGAAACCCGGTTGCCACAGCAGCAATTGGTACATCAGCCTTTAGCTGTTCAAAACAACGGTGAGCATCTGCAACTCGTGCCGGATATACACACACGGCACCAGTATGAATTTGTTTCAGTAAACCAGGTTCAACACATTCTTCCAATAAATGCAAAGGGAATGGGTAGGCTGCTCTATGGCACAGTCGTCGGACATTAGCTTCTGTATCATCACCGGCCAGTGTGGTTAGATCGGTAAGTGTTAAAGCTTTAAGAGCCCAAACTACCTCATTGATACCACTTACCTGGCCACGCGATGATATTTCCTTGGATATTTCTTCCAGTTGTCTCAGCGAAATTGTAACCTTGAGTAGTTCAGCGTCTGCAAAATGTAAACAATGCAAAGGTTTAAAGGTGATGCGGTATTTTAATTTCTCTAATATATTGACATACCAAATGGAAGAATTTTATTAACTTTCATTTTGTTGTAAAGTTTTAAACTTTTATTAGTATTTAGTTTTAAATATTTAATTTCATATATTCTACTTATATAGGAAAAATGTGATGGCTGTTTTCAGTTGGACGTCAATAAAAACAAACACACGTTCGCAATATCGGCTAGTTGTGTATGAATGTGTGTGTGGGTCTTAAATTGATCTTATCATATGGCACAATAGACAAGGTAGAGATCAACGAATTTTTAAAATATGGGGAATACAATTTCACTTCTGGATTATATTAGCGCCGAAGAAGTGTTCACGAACTAAAGAGATTTTTACCTAGCATTTGTGTCTGTTTACTCGGTATTTGGTAACAATTGTTACCAAATGTTAGGTTCGTTTGTTTACTCAATAATTTGTACAAATTATTACAAAATGTTGTTCGTCTACCAAAAAGTCAAAAGAAGAGAGTGAAATGAGAGCAGATTTGACAGTTGTGTTACAGAGTATTTACAAATTCTTACAAGGAAAAATGTACTCAGTAAGAATTTTCTTGTACCATCAGCTGATATTTAATCAGCTGTTTTGTTATGTTTTGTAAACAAACAACAAAATTGTTCTCAAGCAAATTAATTGTTTTGTGAATTTTATATTGATTTTGTATTATTGAACATTAAAATGGATGAAGTAAACGCAAGTATTTCTAAAACAACATCAATTTTCCACTTGCTATCCATTTTTCTAAAAAAAATGCTGCTTTTTTGTTTGCACCAAATTGTTTGTTGTTGTAATCAGTTGTGTCGATACAACCTTTTTACTGGATGTTGTTCGTTTACTTTTTGCAATTTTCTCTCTTGAAAACGAAAAATTCGTATTTTACTTTTTGCAAATTCTTACTGAGTCAATATTACTGGGAAAGTAAACGAACGAACTTATTACTTAATGTTGTCTGTTTACCCAAAAATCCAGTAAAAGAGAGTAATATGAAAGAGCGAGTTTGACAGTTCAACAATAAAAAAACTTACTGGAGTTTGCTGAAAGAATTTCAGATGTTTTCTAGTTTGTAAAATTTTTGTGCTTTCAATTTGAAAATAATTTTTTTTGAATCAGCTGTTTTATGACTAATTGACAAAAAAAAATAATGTGTGTCTCTGTAAGATATCCAAAGATTTTTTTAATTTCCTTGTTAACGTGCTTTTAGTTCCATGTTGTATAAAGAATTTGCAGGGATGCCGTCTGTTTAAATGAAATAAAATTCTCTCTCAGAAAGAAGTTACTGGACAATCTGCAGATTATTTGCAGAAATCTTAGAGTTGATCTTTTCTTCAACAATAAAAAAACTTACTTTTGCAAAGCGTGGTAAAATTAATATTTGTCAGCTGTTTTATGACTAATTGACAAAAATAATGTGCAAGATATGCAAAGATTTTAATTTCAATTCCATGTTGTATAAAGAATTTAGAAAATGAAATAAAATTCGCAAATCTGCAGATTATTTGCAGAATCTTATTGATCTTTTCTCAGTATTATTGCAAAGCGTGGTTTTATATTTGTCGGGCTCGGGATCGATGTTGAGAGTTTCTCTCTCTCTCAGTGGTAAATTGTGAATTGTGTTGGAAAACATTACCACAGGTAGGAACAAAAAAGTACGAAAAGGTACCTAAAATTCTTCAAATTATAATAAATCATAATTATCGAGAAATATCGGCCAATATTTATACCAGTTATTTGCATAAATAATATATGTTATAATTTAAGCGTAAATGTATTCACGAATAATAAAAAAATTAATTTTTGTTTTGGTACGTTTATGTCAATTCGTACCTTTTGTGAACAAAAAGTACGCTTGTTACAAAATTAAAAATAGCGAAACTCTAATTACTCTCTCAAGAGAGAGAAACTCTCAACACCGATCCCGATCCCGACAAATATAAAACCACACAAAGAGAATAAAAACGGCTTATACGGCGTTTACATTAGACTTATTTACTGGGTTAACTTACTTTATGAGGATTTATTTGACACTTATATATTTGAACCTTGAACCGGTACAATGTAAACGTACTATTACTCTCTGAAATATAACTTAAGGTACGTTTAAATTTACGAAATCCACTCGATCTCAAATGTCAATTCCATTGCTTATAATACGTCAAATATAATCCACTGGATTTACGAACAGGATTAACGTGACGTATACGCAATAGAATTGGCATTTCAAATCGAGTCGATTTAGTAGTCTAAACGTAGCCTTACTATGATGTGTTAATGTTGTGGATAAAGTCATGTGTGGATTAATTTAAAATCCTAACTGAAATTACAATACTATTAGACCGACAATTTTTGCTCTAAAAAAATATACATATTTCCAATTTTTTCCGTTGAGCTATATTTTCGAGAGTTTTTTCTTTATAATACAAACTGAATAAAATTGACACATCGATTGCGTGTTATACGAAGGTTCGCCATTTACCTATAATACGCATACACACACTTGATGTACATATTGCTTAATCGTTTGAATCAAAAGTAATCGGTAACCATATTTATAACTCAGTGAAAGAGGAAAGGGAATAACAACACAGACAAATTGTTTTTGTTTCACGCATACGAAATCTTTTCGACAGGGGAAAATAAAATAAAAACAATGAATAGGGCGTAAGTGTAAATAGCTTTTTTGGTAAAACACTTTAAATTTAATTAGCTTTTCTGTTATTTTTCAATAAGGTTCAATAATCGTAAATCACTAAAGCAAGAAAAGATTTTTCTTCAACGTATGAAAGAAAATCCTGATATGGCTTGGGGACTACCAAAAGAAAAAAAGAAAGAATATGATGCATTTTGGGTTAATCTAGTAGCTGAACTCAATGACAATGGACCGCCTATTAAACATATGACTGAGTGGAAAAAGGTAAAATTCACTACATAGGTTATTGGTAACTAAAATGGTTGGTTGCCATTACAACAGTACACATTATTGTCCGTCTTACAAATAAAGACCTTCAAATTTGCAGATTGGTCAGAATCATGGATCTTCCAATTCTCAAAATATATTTATATTTAAGTCTTGTTTTTGTTTTTTTAGACATGGTCTGATTGGAGATCATATGTACGTAAAAAACTTGCCCAGAATGGCACAAAAGCCGTACGCATGACAGATGCAGAAATTCAAGTTGCAAATATTTTAAAATTAATAAAAACCCCAGAAATATCATCCGAGGGAACTGAGACATTTTTATCAAATATATTCCTTGCTGATGACGATTCAGATGACAGTAGATCGTCCGATAGCAATAAGTGTTCTTCGTCGAAACGTAAATGTGAAGCGACATCATCACGGGAAGATCAGAATGATTCGTTATTAAATGACACGAAACGTAAGCGTGAAGCAACACCATCACAAGAAGAACAACAGAATGATACGTTATTAAGTGAAACGAAACGTGACACAACATCACTGGAAAATGATAATGACACCTTACTGAGTGATACTTCAATACAGGAAGACCTAAGAGGATTTCCATTGCCCGAGACAACATTTCCAAGATTTTATCGTGCTACTTCGGACAGTACGTCAAAGTTGGAGAACCGTGTCGCTCGTTGTTTTAAACGCATTTATAATACCTTGGAAGACATTTATAAAATTCAAAAGGAAACAAATAAAGAAAATGAACGCCATCACAGGGTAATGGAAGAGTTATTGCGTGAAAAGAATATGATTAAAATGAGATCGTTGGAATTACAAGAATTGAAATACAAATTTGAATTGGAACAAAAACTAAGTAATGGAAATCATGTGAATGATACAACGGAATAAAATATAACAAATATAATTATATATTATAAGAGAATTTTAACTAATATAACTTGCAAAAAAAAAAAAAAATAATAAAAACTGAAATGAAAGAACTAATTTTATAAAAAAAAACAATTACGAGTTTTTGAATGCCCAAATTATTTTTACCATTATATCCGACTAAAATAATTTCTCACTAAAATAATTGTTCTAGAGCAACTTTAGCTGAAATTTTATGTAACTTGTTTTTATATTTATACTTACTTGGTTGTTAGTTTATTAAATTCAGAAAATATCTTCAATATAGGTGGTTATCTTATAGCATATGGTGGTACATTGGATGCAAATACCAAATTTTTCGTTCAATCGAATTTTTATTTGTCAAATATCTTGGTAGCATTTTTTTCCAAATTGAAAAATTGTCGAAATAAAATTAACTAGTTACAATGGAACTTCAAACAAATTGTTCTAGTGCATCAACATTATGAAAATAAACAAAAAAATTAAAAAGTAAAAGGAGTAGTTTACATGACTATGGTAAGTACTAAAGAATTTTGTGACATGTATCAATACAAATTATTTATGTATGTACGTATTTTTGGAATTAAGATTCACACAACGATGTTTTAACGATGTTTGGCCCATTGTTCCCAATATTCCTTCTGTTGCATTTCATACAGACGTGATAGCGTACGATCGAAAGCAAACATTTCTTCTTCGCCGGTGAAAACGCTTGCTGAGGTATCATTCTATATAGAGAGTTAAACAATTAGTTATAACAATGATATTATTTATTTGTATATATTCCATGTTACTTACCACTGTCAACTTCAGATCGTCCATAAGCATACGTTGTTCATCTGCCAAGGGTTTAGCATCGGATTTATCACTAAAATTAAATAATTGATCTAGAGGAACTTCGGCAGAAATTACAACACGCACACGATTATCGTATAGCGTATCGATTAGTGTAATAAATCTACGCATTTGTGATTTAATTTGCAGCGTCATTTGAGGTACATTGTGTATGAGGACAGTATGGAAGAATTGTCCAATTTGTATATAATCACTACCTCCCAGAGGCTAGAATGAAACAAAAAAAAAAAAGTTTATAAATCTAGAAAGCGAATAAAAATAAAATATAAAGCAACTTACCCGATCGCATAACTCTTCAAATGTACTATCTAAAACTTGACCACAGGTACGTTGAAACGTTAAATCACGTCCAAAATGGGTAATGGTGCGAGGTCGGATGATATCGTTTTCTTGCGAGCACAAAATCTTAAACATTCGTTCCATTTGGGCTTTAGCATCAGTCTTGGACGTACTAAAAACAGAAATAAAAATAGTTTAATATCCGAACAATTAGGTATATCTGAAATTCCACTATGAAAAAAATTAAAATAATTGTGGATTGGTTATTTGGACTCCTATAGGTATAGCCGACTCTCACAGCTCAAGTATCAGTGAAGATTTAAATAACAGATTATATTTAACCAGTTAATATTTTCGAGAGTTGAATGAAATTCTTGACATGAATCACAAAACGAGAGTTGATATAACCCACATTGAATTGTGTCCTTTCAATCATATGTTTAAAAAACGTCTCCACATAATTGACTACTTACACAAAATAATTAGTATCTCCCGATTGTGCAATACGCCTGTAATCCACACCACTATCCAAAGCAGAAACATTACAACGATTCAGTAGCACACCAATAAAAGGTATAAAATTACTACGTTGTAAACCATTTTTGTACAAATCATTTGGATGACGATTACTGGTGGCCACACAAACAATACCCTCATTAAAGAGATGGGTAAATAGACTTTTCAGAATCATGGCATCAGCAATATCGGTCACTTGAAATTCATCGAAACATATTAACCATGATTCGGCTGCAATCATTTCAGCCACCGGCAATGTGGGATCAAATGGCAATGGCTTTTCCGAATTAAAAGCACGATCTTGTGGGCCACGTTCCTGTTTCACCTGATGTATGCGTGAATGAACATTGGACATAAACGAATTAAAATGAACACGTTGCTTTTTGGGAATCTGTAAGAGAAGAATGTAAAAATCTTCGTTAAGCTAATGTTCCAAAACCGGTTTCTGTTTTCCACATTTTCACCTACGTCTACACAGCAGTCATAGAACATGTCCATCAATGTTGTTTTACCACCTCCAACACTGCCATAAATATACAATCCTTTCGGTGCAGTTTCGTTGAGTAATTCGATCTTTGGTGCAGCTTGTTCTTTTTTCAAAAATCTTCCAAATAAACCACCGCCACCAGATGTTTGAGTCTTCACCGGAGTGGGTGTGTAATTCTTTATGGCGTGATACAAATTCTCCAAATCTTGGGTGGTGGCCTTCTGCACTTTATCGGGCAGCAATTTTTTCGATTCAATACGCTGTTCGTAGGCCGTCATTGGTGTCAGGAAACGCCTCGTCATCTTTTGGCTGGGTACTGATAAGAACAGTACCTGCTGGTGGGCTTCCGCCACTATACGCACAGCTATTTTGGACGACAACATATTGGCCGTTGTCACCCTCCTTTTCACCTTAACACGTAACACTAGCTCTTATATAATAAGTTTGTCGTTAAATTCCAGAAATGTGTTGTTATTCTCTGTTCCGATTTTGGATTTCGTCAACTATTTTCCACTAACATATTACATAAATACGCGGGACGATATTCTGTAGCGAAGAAGTGTTTTCTTTTTCCTTCGTTGTTGTGCTTTTTTTCAAGAGCGAGGTAAAACTTTCGCCTCACGGCCGTGAATTTGTTGGCACGTCTGTTGTGTTTCCTGGTTACATTTGGTAGTTTATCAGCTGTTCTAGAGCAAGTTTTCTTTTTGTAAATATAAACAACGACAGCTGTTGTCTTCTTCTTCTTCTACTTCATGTATATGTTAACATATGTTAACTTCACCACAGTTGAGGTGGATTTTAAAGTGGCATGAGGCACAACATACAATGTTGCCACTTTAATGTGAATAAAATAACTTCTGGGTTATTCCTGTAGATTTTTGTACGTGTTTAAAATTTTTATATACCTCTTGTTATTATATCATGCAGAGATATAATCACAAGAGGTAGGTTAATCGTAGCTGCTGATTACAATTTTTCTTGAGGTTATGTCAAAACAATAACTCAATTTACATGTGTGTATATAATGCCTTGAAAAATATAGAAATAAATTAAAAATATTTTCAAATGCAGTTTTAATTAAAATCGAGTGTAAAATGTTTCAGAGTTTTGGGAAGGAATATTATAATAATTATATTTGTAACCCCATATTGTGAAAAAAGCTTGAAATTCCATTCATTTTTTTATTTAATAAAATTGTAAAAATATGTCAAATAAATAAAAAAAATCTGTTTAATATGTCAAGACATTTCACTAGATTACCGTTTTTTTAATTTTGTCATGTAATACTACCTATATTATTGTGACATGCGTCTTCAAAGAAATTTAAATAATATCTGGTTCTGTTTGCCTTTTCAGTAACATTTACTCAGTAAGTTCTATTTCAGAGAGTAAGCCGTTTTTATTCTCTTTTGCAATAATAGTACGTTTACATTGTACCAGATTTCGTTTACCCAGTGTGTTTCAATTGTCAACTCCATTGAATACATGCTAATAAATCCTCATAGAGTAGGTTATCCCGGTAAAAAGTTCTAATGTAAATGCCGTATAATACTGGGAAAGTAAACAGACAACATCCAGTAAGATTTTGTAATATATCACACAATTACACTTAAAATTCTTGAAAAATTCTTGTCCAAAAGTGATTCAAACACTCAGTCCCCGGATTTTAATACATAAAGGAACTTATGGAGTCTTTTGGAGAAAAATATTACAAGCCATAACATCTTAAGCATACCATGTTTGAAAAATGCTTTAAAAATTTAGACATCTTACACGAAAAACTCGTTAAAATATATGCCGGCAAGGTTGTAAAAGATATAAGAAGATATCATGCTAAGTAATACCCCAATACAGTATTTTTCGGTTAATTGCACATCAAAATTTGCACAAATTTTAGTTCAATTAACCGAGGAACCAATTATCCGAACCCGCTTATTTGAATAGTTTGTTCAATTACAGCAATCACGTATAATTTGAACTTCAATGTCAAATACAAATTACGCTTTCTCGCAGTTTTCCCTTAGCAATAAACATATGTTTTGAACTAGACTTTTTCACAAATTATGTCAAATATGTATGCAAAAAAATGGCAGATTATTTTTCAATTATTATTAAGCAATTAACCGGTGAAAAGTAAAAGGAAATTTATTTTTGATGACATGAATTTTGAACCAATTAAGCGGGAAAATCAATTAACAGGGTTTAATTATCCGAGAAAATTTACATGTATTTTCCTATGAAATATTTTTTGTCCCATCATGTGGTTCAATTAAGCGTGGAAACCAATTAACCGTAGGGTCAATTAACCGAAAAATACTGTACTTAGTATTGGGTTAATACTTCACATTGATATTGTTTATTTTACTGCATAAATTTTATGGCATGTTTATTATAAAAAATCCAAGTGAATACTTTTGACTGTGACTCACTGTACATAAAATCGGACGAAAATATATATGGGAGCTATATTAGAATCTGCACCGATCTTTTCAAATTTCAATAGTGTTCGTCCATGGGCCAAATTTCATCAAAATCGGAACATAAATGCGACCTGTACTTTCTTTAAAAGAATACATGGACGGACATGAATAAATCGACACAGAAAGTGATTCTATGCATGTTCTCAAAAATAACCATGGGTCTATCTCGTTTCCTTTTGCCTGTTACAAACATATGTACAAAGACATAATACCCTGTACCACAGTGTAGTGAAGGGTATAAAAATAACATTTACACCTAATGTTTTTTTTATTAAAATTTGTTATTTGTAATCTCATGCAAAAGCCACCATGTGCGGAGCCTTGATAAGATGTTTAAAATAAGTTCTTGGTTTTGTTATGTTTGTTATGGTTAGATATATGTAGTCAAGTGACTCAACTAATCAATAGGTCTTCCCTGATTGCTTTTTACGGATACGTTTATTTACAAAACATATTTGTAATATTAATAAGCAGGTGGGTAATGTCATATATGTTACGAATGACATCTTCGTAATTGGAAGAAATTTTACATTCATTGATCTTCCGCCACGGAAGTTGTCTACAAACATGGTTTGGACGAGGTTTTGGTCAAAAATTGTAAAATTTGCTGTTTCTTTAAGACCTTCTGTATCGTCTCTTCTTGGCACTAAGATGTACAAATGCAAACATAATCCTCCAGCCGTCACATAACTAAATTAGTTGCACACCCAATCAAACTACAATGCACACTGCCCGTCGTTCCCATTATTTCGATCGAGTATTGTGATCAAAACATTCCATTCAAATTGATCAAATTCCATTACGCCGACTTTGGGTAGCCAACTTCGTACCGTACTGCTATTGGGTAATTCATGTACTGTATAAATCGGGTGAAAATATATGGGAGCTATATCTAAATCTGAATCGATTTTACCGGAACTTTGCACACATCATTCTAGACTTAATTCAGTACCCTATTCCAAATTCCGTCCAAATCGAAAGATATATAGGGTCTTTGACACACCATTTACATTAAATCGGTAGAACATATATATATGGGAACTATATCTTAATCTTAACCAATTCAAGACATTGTACACACATTCAAGACTCATTAAAAAATCAAGTCAGTACGCTATGCCAAATTTCGTGTAAATCGAAAGATATAAGGAGTTTGGTGAACCAGCTGGAGCTATATCTAAATCTGAACGGATTTTCAAGAAAATTTACACACATCATTCTAGACTCAATTCATTACGCTATGCCAAATTTCGTGCAAATCGAAAGATATAAAGGGACTTTGGTGAACTATTTACCTTAAAACGGACGAAATTATATATGGGAGCTATATCTAAATCTGAACCAATTTTCACGAAATTTAGCACACATCGTTCTAGACTCAATTCAGTGCGCTATGCCAAATTTCGTGTAAATCGAAGGATATAAAGCAGGATGCGAAGAATGATTAAAATACGCTGTTTCTCACGAATGCCCACGGGCGAGAATTCGAATGTTTTCAATTTATCGCGAATGACAAAGTTACAATGAATGCACAAGCATTTGCATTCTGTCGCGAATGTTCGCATTGTACGAAAAATTCACGAACGATAAAATTTCGCTGCAAGCGTCGTCGATTCATTCTTTCGCAAGCATTTCTTGCTGAAGAACTCAAAAAACAAATATATATATATATATATATTCTCGAGTGCACTGTTAAAAACAACAACAAACAAAAATATCATAAAACCAGTAAGGAAAGTAGTAAAGTCGGACGGGGCCCACTATATGATACCCTTCACCACTATGGGTATATTAAACAGGACTATTAACATGAAATTGGATGCAATAAAATATGTGATATTTATTTAAATGTGAATCTACCTAGATCTATTCATGAAGTATGTAAATCGACTTCAAACAAATATAAATAGGTCATCCGTTGGGCTATTTCTGTACTTCTAGAAAACGCAACTACGTAGTTCTATGCTCAATTTTGTAAGTTGTGCAAAATTTGATATCAATCTGACTAACATGAGGAGTTTGATGCCCAATTTACTTGAAATCTGGCGAAAATATATATGGAAGCTCTATCCAAATATTAAGCGATTTCAAACAAACTTGTTACAGGTTAGGTTATACTAATTTCAGAACGTTTTGTTCCAATCAGCATATTGGTTCTTTGGTGCGTCAATTACTTAAAATAAATCTATAATAAGAGGGAGCTATATCTAAATCTGGACCGATTTTCACGAAACAAGGCAGACATCGCTCTAGGCTCAATTCAGTACGTTATGCCAAATTTCGTGCAAATCGAAAGATATATAGCGACTTTGGTGTACCATTTACATGAAATCGGACGAAACTATATATGGGAGCTATATCTAAATCTGGACCGATTTTCACGAAACTTGGCAGACATAATTCTAGGCTCAATTCAGTACGTTATGCCAAATTTGGTGCAAATCGAAATATATATAGGGACTTTGGTGTACCATTTACATGAAATCGGACGAAACTATATATGGGAGCTATATCTAAATCTGGACCGATTTTCACGAAACTTGGCAGACATCACTCTAGACCTAAATGATTAGGCTGTACCAAATTTCGTGCAAATCGAAAGATATATAGGGACCGTTTACATTAAATCGGTAAAATATGTATATGGGAGCTATATCTAAATCTGAACCGATTTTTCCCAATTTCAATAGGGTTCGTCCTTGGTCCGAATAAGTGACATGTGCCAAATTTCATCCAATTCGGATCATAAATGCGACCTGTACTTTGTTTACAATTTAACATGGACAGACAGACGGACAGACGGACGGACATGCATAAATCGACTAAAAAAGGTATTCTATGCATATTCTCAAAAGGAACCATGTGTCTATCTCGTTTCCTTTTGCCTGTTACAAACATATGCACAAAGACATAATACCCTGTACCACAGTGTGGTGAAGGGTATAAACACACACAAACAACGAAAGAATGTGTGTGTAGCAGAAAGTGTGTGGAATAACAAAACACATGTCCAATAACTATTGAGTTCACGAACGTTTGTTGTTGTCGTAGCAGTTTATAAGGATTGTGTATTTTCTGTTTAAATTTCGTCCAGTT